GCCTCACTCCACAACAAAGCCTTTCAATTAACAATATTTAGAAAAGAACAAGAATTTAAAATATAAGAAGCTATAAACGACAAGCCAAAACTAATTCATTTAGGCTAAAACGAAACTGAAACCAACGTTGGGTCTCTCATTCGACACAAAATCAAATGTTTCCGTATTCGCAATGTATTTGAATGGCAAATTATTATTTATTATGTAGCCTAGGCTACTTCACTGGGTTCCAATATCCAAGTAAAACCAAATGTTTTGCATAACATCACGGCGGTACGGTGATAACGCTTAACGGCACAGACTTTACTACATATTTAAACTGAGCAGTGTGTTTTTTTCCATATGTTTGATTGAATATTTTATTATGATAATGAACAGGCTGCATTGTCAAGGTAGCAAAGTTTAACTGTGTGCGCATGCGGCGCTGGCGCAATCACTATCGGAATAATTGGAATTGTAAAAGGTTTGCCTTTATTTGTGTACATTCACAATAAAAACAAATCTTTGTGCTTTTGTTAAAAAAGCCTAAAGAAAAATGGGATGCCACTTTCTGCCGTCTTGGTTTCCTTTCGCGCAGCACAAAAATGAACCGAAACTCTGCATACTTGTTGCACAGTTTTTCTTTGGTTTTCTTAATTTATTATTCAAGTAAAAATATATTTCTCGTACAGGCCTATTTATTATTATTTCATTATTATATTAATATATTATTATTATTTATATATAGCCTAGCTTTATGATGTTTTTCTCCGCTCGCAGAAGCGCTGCAGGAGCATGATGTGATGCATGTGAATCCTCATGTTCTGTTGTTTGCTGCATTTTTCGGATGTAAAATTAATCCCCGGGAAACAAATGTTAGTATTTTTAACGGATCAGAGACACTTATCCTTTCTAATTTAATTCAATTCTAATTTAAAATAATCTTAAGTCGGTTAACGAGCGTCGGTTAGGAAAAATAACCGAAATTAACATCCCTATGCAATACATAAATACAATCTGATTTTAGGTACAAGAAACCGACTGACTTCAAGAGGAAGAAACTCAACCTCCTGACAAAGAAACCACTTTTCCTGCACCTTAACCAGACTTTGCACAAAGACTAAACCAAGATCCGACAGCCAAACACTTGACGGACAGCAGAGGTTATATTTCTCAGATATGTTTGGTGCATTACCGCTCATATTCCTTGCAATATCGGACACTTTTCTTCATATCTCCAGTCTGAAGTTTGGGACACAGCCTGATTTCTCTGCGGTGCTTCATCTGAGAGAGAAATGAGTGTTAGAAATGCTAACTATTTCAAAAACTGAATTGTGTACAAATGATGTTGATTTCTGATGGAAACAGATGGATATAACTTGGATATAACACAACTTCCCATTGGTTTTTATATTTTTATTGCATTAAAGAAACAGCTCGCCCTCATCTTCCAAACCGGTATGCTGTTATTATTTGAAAGTCTCTTATTCATGAAATGTAAACCGAGAAAAAAAGACAAAGCACCATTAAACATCATAAAAATAATCTATTTCATGTTTTACATTTTCTGAACCCATACAAGCTTTGTAGACTTAATATTAAACTGTTATTCAGTGAAAATCTCCAATATTTTCTCATGGGTATGTTGTTCGGTTATGATATGTGATTCAGTGGCCGTTTGATTCTTAAAACCAATTGAATCTGAACATATAACTTTGGTTTGGTTTTTGTGTATGCATATGTATTCTGTGGGGAAAACAGCATACAAATTTGGAATTACATGAGGTGAGTAAATATTCACAGAAAATTAACTTTTGAATTAACTATTCCTTTATAAATGTTGTTTAACAGACAAGTTTATTGCTTTTATTGAGTATGCATTGCTTGCTAATGCTATACATATGGAGTACATAAAAACCCTAAAAAAAAAACAACACTAAACGTCTCAAATATAAATATATATTTGAGATTTCTTTACACTTTGGTTAACTGCTTATCAACTGGCTAATATTCATTTAGCATTACAAGGCATTCATACTTTTCTTTAAAATAATGGTGTTTGGCTCAGTAACATCGTTGAAAATCTATCACAATGACCTTGTAGTTCTCTTTAATAGATATTCCAGAAGTTTAATGGAGTATGAATCAGAAAAGCCAGTAAATATGACCATGTGAAAGGAGAAACTGAAGAAGTTGAAGCATTAGCATGCCAGCTTTGCAATTAGCTCCACACTTTGCTCTTTGATGAATAGTTCGGTCTGGTTAGTTTGAGGAAATTACTTGCTTCAGGATGAGTTTCTCAAACAGTTTTAACCAAGTTTACTAAAGGATTTCAGAAGAAGTTTGACATGAGCTAGACTCTGTTTGGAGACTAGCCTAACTTTTACTGCTCATTTCATTACACTTTTATCACAGGTATTATTTTTTAATAAGGAAAAACTAATGGAGATGCTTTTCCCACATCGGGCTGTTTAATGTTGTTATGTCAGTGTTGGAGTCTCGGAATCAACTAAATGGTTAAAAAAGTACTGCATTTCTGTGAAGACTTTATTCATCAGGTTGTTTAATGGCGCGTGTATCATTTCTAATAAATGATAATGCTGCTTGATTCATTCATATTTTATAAATATACTTCAGCCTGAAATACTTTATAAATATACTTAAGCCTCGAGGAAACACGATAACGTTAACTGTCATAGCAAACTAATAAAGTAGCCTACGTATCTGTACTATATATATAAATATATATGAAATAATGAGAACATGTAGGCAAATCTTGGCATGATTAATCGTTAAATGCAAATCACCTGGATTTATGGAAAGTGCATCATTAGTCCAGAGTGAAATCCCATGTGGTGCAGTTTGCTATATAAAGATGTCCTAAAAGTATGGAAGCTGGTGTTTTAATGATTTTAGTGGATGTATGAAGTCAGACCTCCTCACACAGGTGTAGAGAATCAAATCAAATTAACTATCAGCATGATCCACGAACCATAAATATAAAATCACAATACTTCACACTACTACACGTCTATTATTTGAACATTTTAAACCATGCAAACTTCATTTTAAATTGTGCATCTTTATTAATATAGATACCAAAGTTTGATAGGATCACCTATTTTGTAAACGCTAATGTTAGGAAAACTTGCTGAACTAAAATTGTCTGACTTTGCTCACAGGGCATCAGTTTTGTACCTTTTGTTGTATTGCTTAGAAATTGCTTTATGCTGCTATATTATTACCAAATACTGGATTTAATGTCTTTATCTTTTTTCTTTCAATTAGCACAAGTTTTGTGTTTTTTATTTTAAGCCTTATTACCTTTTTTCTTTCAATTAGCACAAGTTTTGTGTTTTTTATTTTAAGCCTTATTACCTTTTTTCTTTCAATTAGCACAAGTTTTGTGTTTTTTATTTTAAGCCTTATTACCTTTTTTCTTTCAATTAGCACAAGTTTTGTGTTTTTTATTTTAAGCCTCATTGATCTGAGCTTATGCACTTCATTTTTTTTGTGTAAACTGCCAAAATTATACACGATTTTTCACTCAAAAACTGTGCATAAGCTCAGATCCGTGAGGCCTATGATCAATCAGTTCCCAAAAGCCATACAAAACCTGTGCTAAACAAAATAAAAAAAAAAAGACTAATTCCAACATTTGGTGATAATAGAGCATAATAATGAGGGATTTACAAGCAATTTTTTAAAAGCCAGTCATTTTTGATGAAGAAAACCAAATTAGGAAAGGATTTTGAGCACAGCAAAAGCATTATCTAAATGCTCTTTGAGACAAATGTTGGCATGATTGATTACTTAATGCAAATGTCCTGGATTAAGTCTCAAGTCTGCTTTATTGTCAATTCTTCCACATTAATTAGTCCAAAGCAAAATCACTGACTCCTCAGTGAGTTCTTGTTGAAAGATGTTGAGTCGCACGACGCTGGATTCGCCAGTAAACACATTCATCAAAACTACAGGAAAAAAGCAGCTTTATTCAACGCATTCTTTCCTGTGAAATCAATGCCACATTTTTTAAAATGGTTTATTTTCCAGGATTAACACATGATGCAAACACTCTTACTGCGCACAAGATACATCCTCTCAACACACTTCCTAAAATAATTTACTCTAATATCAAACAAAACAATATATGCCAAAAAAAAAAAGGTCGATGGATTGAGTATTTTTCCATTTTGATTCCAAAAGCATTGCATCAGAAACCCAGAGAACATCATTCATGGGCCTCGTTCATGAAACATGAGCAGATTTTCTGTGAGTAAAACCATTCTGGGAAGGAATAGTTTTT